TTTCAATAACAGAATATTAAAAAACATGTTTAAACACTCTCAGTCCATGCACTTTATTCACTTTTAATTCAAGAACACAGTGATAGTAGACATAGTGAATTATCTCTGAGTCATAACCAATTCCAGGATTCCAGGATTTCAGTGTAGATTTATTTCGTACCTGTCAGAAGTCTTTTCGGTCTCTTTCCCGGCCTGATGTAGTTCCTGCAGAGCCGCTCGTCTCATTAACAGACCTGTAGAGCACGAACACACAGAACCGTCAACTCTGCATTAGACAGAACAGGTGTAGAAGCTGAAGTTCACCCCGTGATCACACCTTGAATCGTCTGCACTCGTCTGTGAGCGAACGCCAGCCTCTGGGTCAAAGTGCTGAGTCGTGTTTGAGCGGCGTCCACTTCCGCCACTTTGCCTTCAAACGCCAGCCTGAATCTGTGAGGCACGGACCAAATTATTTTTCAAATCTGTGAGGCACGGACCAAATTATTTTTAATAGAACACTTGGAGACAAAGAAAAAAAAACGTTTGGACTTTAGCTCCTTTTATCTGAATCACCTGTGCACCGCTTCTGTCAGCATTTTCCCCTCGGCCTCTGATTTCTCACAGCGTAACTGCAGCTGAGAATTTTCTTTATGCGCCTGAGCCAAGTCTCGTTTCATTGTCTGTTAGTGAGAAACACACATCCAGGAGAACGATTAGGACGATCGTACACTGACGCACAGTCTTCAGAGGAGCTGTGTGACCGGCTGCTGGTCTTTAGACCCTCACTGCTCCGAGGATCCAGCAACGCTTTCACACAGTCAGCATCTTCTGCTCGGGTGAAAGTGTTTATCACTTTCCTAAGCAGACACAAATTTATTGTGCATCATCAAAAATTCAGACAGCCACGTAAATCCCATCAGGAGCTCAGGAACTAACCTCCTTCTCCACTCTCTCCAGGTCCAGCTCAGCTATCCTGTCATCCACGGTGTGTTGGAGCACGGCGGCCCGGTGCTGCTCCTGCTGGAGCTGCTGCTCCAGGGATGTAAACTGGAACATTCAGACACAGCTTCAGACCCACTGGACACGGCTGTGGAACTGTAGTCATGAACAAGAGGTTGGTTTTTGTTTTTTTACCTTTGAAAGAAGTTTGTCTTTTTCTCTTCTCAGTTCAACGTCCTTTGAACGAAGCTGAACACACAACTTAAAGACTTTCTCTCTCCAGAGCTTCAGCAGAAGAAGGCCTTCAGATCCAGGCTTCAAACGTGGCTCTGTCAGGGTCTTTTGGAACACACACACACACACACACAAATATGGCCCCTATTTTAGAAGAACAATTTTTGTGCAGCTATTGTTCCATTGTGTTGTTGAGAGACTTTTCTAATTTCCACCCCCCCCCCCCCCCCCCCCCCCAGGGATCAATAAAGTGATTGTGATTCACAGACCTCCACAGAGTTCCATTATTTCTGGTTAAATAAAAGCTCACCACCTTCTTCACCAGTCTCTCTTCTTGGAGGGAGAGGATTTCATTCACAGAATTGAGCCTGATGGTCAAGAGTTCAGCCGTCATCTGCAGATCTGCTTTCTCTGAGTTCAGTCTCTGTGAGACAGACAAACATCAGACCAACAGACCTGGACACAGAACAATCTACACTGTCTCCTCCACTCAGTGACAGCTTTTTAAAGTCTTTCCTATGCAAACATTCAATGGCGGCTGATGGCGATCAATAGGGTTAAAAATGTCTCCACCTCCACGGCTCGGTTTAATTGCTCCTTCTCTTGTCTCTCTGGGGCGAGCTGGCCGATGTAATTCCTGAGGCCGTGCAGTGTTGCTGATTGTGCTTCGAACGCCTGTCCCATTTGGCTGAAATATAAACAAACAATAACCTGAAGTGGACTGAAAATGACTCGGCCGGTTTAAAGGCTCCTTCTTTAGCTCTAATGTGGCACCTGCACTGCTCCCTCAGTTTGTCTCTCTCTGCAGACACCTGCATCACGGAGCTCCTCAGCTGCAGCACCTCTGAGGTCGCCGACCGGAGTCTGTCCTGCAGCTCGCCGTGTGTCGTCCGTGCAGCGTCCAGCTCTGCGGCGTGGGAGGAATTCAACTGCAGCAGCTGACAAATAAATGGACGGACAAACAATGAACATTTGGAGACACACGCAGGTAATGATGTCATCATTTAATCATCTCCAAGGACCCCTTACCTGTGAGTGTATTTTCTCCTTCTGTTTGACTCAGTAATACATCAGTGCAGCAGCTGCTTGCTGATACGGGTTCATCGTTGTGGGGCCGAGAGCCGTAGAAAGGTCACCCAAATCAGTAGGTACAAGATTTATGACACTTTCAATTTTCCCTTGTACACACACACACACACACAAACCTCAGCCTGGTGTTTTCTCTGCAGTTCCTCCAGGTGTTGTGTCTTCTGTCGTTCTTCCTCCTCCACGTGTGCTTTGACTATTTCAGCCCTCAGAGTCAGAGTCAGAACTTCTTCTTCTCTACAGTTCGCTTCTCTTTTAAGTCTCGTTATTTCTTCTCCAGACTCGCTTTTCAATTGTTCCAGCTTTAAGACAAATGTTTTGTTAAAGACCAAACAACCAACTGACGACAGGACACGAAAAACAAACTAAAATATAAACTAAAAATATTGGACAACCAAGATCCAAATTGAGACCCCTTCATCTCTCAGTCCTTGTTGTTGAGCTGAAACGTTAACTTGACAAACAGCGTTACCTGTGAGTGTATTTTCTCCTTCTGGGTTCTGCTGTGTGTGAGCTCCTCTCTGAGACGATGCAGTTCTGCCTCTGCCTTTGACAACTCTTCACGTGTTTCTTCCAACTCGTGACTCTGTCTGTCAAACAAAGGTTTTGCAACTTTAGATTTCATCATAGCTTCAGTTTCAGCCCTGACAGTGAGTAGCTCCATCCAACTATTCCAAATATTTGCCATTTTAAACATAATAGAAAATCACGGCAGTCATTACAATGTATTTTTTTAATTTCATTTTTTTTCATCCAATTCCAAGCTAAAAAGTCATTGTCACTGTCAAGTCATTGTACCTTCACCACTGCAGTAAAAAGAACAAAAATCACCCAGGATGACCGCCTGTCTCACTGTCTCACTGTCTCACTGTCTCACTGTCTCACTGTCTCACTGTCTTGCACCTACAGGGACTGATGCTGTGGCTGAGTGGCCTGCCCATCTGCCGTGGTTGATCATGGGGAGAGTAAAAGGAGGTTTCCAGGTTGACACTGGTTTTGGCTTCCATCCTTCTCTCTACCACTGACTTCACTGCGTCCAGTTCCAGGACAACCACTGAGTTGGCCATTCTTACCAGCTGCTTCAGTCTGCAGGCGTCACCAGACTTAAAGCCACACGGTACAGTAACAGTGTCCTGGCCGCTGTCTGCCCGTGTGATGAACGGACTTCAGGAGCCCGCTCCAAATGTTTTTCCAATTAATTTTCTCAAAGGCATTTTCCCAATACCATTAACAGGTGGACGTTACACAAATCATGAGCCCGAACATTCACAGTATTTTATGTTAATGCACAAGAAAGAAACTTTTACCTGGAATATTGATTTTTAATCGGTTACACTGTTCTCCAGCTCAGTGTTGACAGCAACACAATAGCTCTCAATTATTGAGAATACTACTTCAGAAAAGTTTTCTCAGGTTTTCTTTTTAAAATCTCAATAAGAGATGGAAGAGAAGAAGACAAAGAGTCACATTCAGCCTGTCCCTTCAA